CAAAGTTACTTTTACAAACCTAGACCAGTGTGCCTATCAATGTGTTTTTTTTATGTTTTCTGATATTCCGACCTGCTGTTCTGGTATATTAAATTATAAAGTTATGAAGGACATCATCCATGTGTAATACAATTGTACTTTATTCTTTAGATAGATACACATCCAGTAGCTTATACATACACACACGTAAAACAATCAAATCACTCACAGGTATGTAAAAGTAAAGAGCATGAGAAGTGATTATAAGGTCTGACAGGGACTGATCCTGTGATACACTGACCATGATAAGGACAATAATGATGGTTAAGGCTTTGTACAGATTTATAAAGAAGAACAATAATGATGGTTAAGGCTTTGTACAGATTTATAACAAAGAACAATAATAATGGTTAAGGCTTTGTGCAGATTTATAAAGAAGAACAATAATGATGGTTAAGGCTTTGTACAGATTTATAAAAAAGAACAATAATGATGGTTAAGGCTTTGTACAGATTTATAAAAAAGAACAATAATAATGGTTAAGGCTTTGTGCAGATTTATAAAGAAGAACAATAATGATGGTTAAGGCTTTGTACAGATTTATAAAAAAGAACAATAATGATGGTTAAGGCTTTGTACAGATTTATAAAAAAGAACAATAATGATGGTTAAGGCTTTGTACAGATTTATAAAGATGAACACTTTCTATTCAAGGTTTGAATACATTTGTGGATATTAAGATGTCAGTTGTAGAGATTTACATAACATTGGTAGATATTTACATTAACATTACAATTTTAAAAGAGAGGACCTTGAAAATTAGTTAAAAGGGCACAGACGGCCCACAGTTGGTTAACGGAGCCCACCAGTGTCATGGGTAAGACTTTATCAAAAATATGGTACTCTTTAATCCGCCTAATAGCGCGCTCTACATGAATTCGCAGTCTTGCTATCGCTTGAGTCTTTCGTACTTCGTCTGCAGTGAAGTGTCCACTTGGGCCTAAAAAAGGAGGGACTACAAGGGAGACGTGTCTTTCAGAGAGAAGGTCCTTAATGAGAAAGCCTTTATCGGCCATTACCATATCTCCTTCTTCAAGAACAGAAAGAATACCTGATTTTTTGGTAATTTCTTTGTCAGATATTGAACCTGTATATAAATCACTGACAAAAGTCACTTCACCTGAGGGGGCAATACCTATTAAGCCCTTAAATGTGGTGTTCCCTTTGTAGTGTGAATAAATCGCTGAGTTAAGGACCTTGGAACTAGGTTTCTGTACATGAATTTCTGTGCAATCCAATACAACTCTAGTAGCCGGGAACGTGCATTTAAAACAATCTGGCATAAGTTCATCCACAGTTTTCCTTGAAGGCCACATTGGAAGTGATCCCAACATAAAATACAAAAAATTGGCCCAGGTCACACAGATCCTGCTTACTGTTGACTGTGATACATGGAAACGGGTTGCAAGATCCTGTTCAGGAAATCCCTGCCTCAACCTACAAAGAAAAAGAAAAAACTGGTCCATAGTGGACAATTTAGAGGCGCTAAAGCCTTGACGAAGTACCTCCCCACTTGTATGTTTAAGTCGCTGAGCCTGACTCCATCCCACCATATTTTCTGCAGTAGGTTGCAGGGCCATAAACACAGCTATAAATGTATCATAATCTGGGAACCCTGTATAAAATGAAATCTGTTTATCGTCACCTTGAAAATTTGAAATCAAAAACCGTTCTTGTTGAAGCTCTAAAATTAAAAGTTCTTGATCACCGATGGTCTTGCGGGCTTCCTCAAGTTGATCTTGAAGTGAGGGAGGCAGTGCAGCATACTCATGGTCTGGGTGCGGAGGGGGCGTCTCTTCACTGGAAGTATAAGATAAACATATTGATGGACACATTAGGTGTTTTACAATGATACTCATGCTCAATTCATGTAACCAATTACATCTTTTACGTACCTCAACACATTCACACCATGTCGATCATCGAGATCCGTGGAAACATTACTGGAAATCATCAACAGAGAAATACGGTCACTACACAGTTAATAAATGCATTACAAACTAGTAACTTAATTCATCTTAATACTACCTTGCAGTTCTAACAACACTCCTCCTCTCTGGTCTGACAGAACTCCATGCAAACACAGTTGGCACAGCTCCCTGTTTCAACTTGGTGATGCCAGTCTTGCTCTTCACAATGCAGTCTGGGAGGAAATGCTCCGAGCACACTTTTGTGTATGCGTTTATCTGCATCAGCAAATAAAATACGATCATATAAACATTTTTACATGTATAATTTTATTGATCAGACTCAATCTGACTCCTGTACATCCTCCTCCTAGCTAGGAAAACTGATGTGATGTGTTTCCTAGGTTAGCTTGTGACTAGAAGCTAATACAAACAAGGTCACTCAGAATATGCTTATACTAGTAAATCTGTGGTGGTAGATTTTAATAACATACTACTAATTTTGGACTAGGCTGTATATTTCAACAACCTGGCTCTCTGCCTTAATCTATCTACTAAAACGTGCTAGTTCTAGCCTAGCTAACTTAGCTGCTAGTGATACAAGCTCGTTATGGAGACGGCTCAGCCTCACAGCACCAGACATAATAAAACTTACCTTAAAATTACGACCAGGATCCCTTCTGATGTTTATTATCCATTGTCGACGTAGTCCATGATCTTTGGGGAAACGGTGAAACGTTTGTCCTCTGTTTGATTTTTTCCTGTGTGATGAAGTGCATTGGGGAACACAGCAGTGAGGCGCCATTGCAGAGAAATCGCGTTGTGAGAACAACCGGAAGTGGTAAGTGTACCCCTCAGGCTCGATGGAACGTTCGAGGTGAATAAGGCGAATGGCGAGAGGCCAGATTCTCTGTACAAATTAAATGTGTACGAGAGTCTGGTAGGACCAGGCTAATACATACCTGGTTTACTGTAGAAAGAGCTGGCCATTGAAGTACCATCAGGCTGATGTCAAAGCTTTTCGTTGACAACTTTTCTGTGAGGAGCAAACATTAAAGTTATAGTCTTTATAGTCTTTATAGTCTTTATAATGGTACCTGACTTTATGGTTTACATGTAATTGTGCACTGTACAGTATGCAGATGAATACACTAATCAGCCTTAGAACAGGTCTCAGTAAACCCACATGACATACTGCTAATATGGAGTTTTGGTGTGAATGGCAGCAGGATAAGTTGAACATTGTGCAAAGTAATTTAAATACATTAGTTTTAGATGTAAACAAGGAAATTGTTCTGTTCATGTATAACTTACATGATTGAGCCTGTAATATTTAAATAGATGTGCTCTCTTTTCGCAGTTATGAGGGCAATACTTGCAGGTCCAAAGCATCTCTTCTTGACCTGCAACACAAAACAAGATAGTCTGTCGTTAAGAGGCCTATGACATAGTACATCCATACGTTTTTGCATTCAACCCATTAATTAACTTTAACTTACTCTTTCAATCAATAGCCGTGCCGAAATAAAATGGGGTCGATAAATTATTGCACTCACCACCATATTCGCGGTGTTTGGCGCTGGCCAGAGGTTCAAACAGTTACACTCTCAGTCTCAACAACAGCTCCTCGAGTGAAAAAGAAACAATAGGAAGGAAAAGACAAAAAAAAAAAAAAAAACGTACGTCGAACTCGCCGGTGTTCAAGCGCGTCGCCGTCGATGTCCGCTGCACTCTAGTGAGAAATCTATCTAGCTAAAAAAACAAACACTGATTGTCACTGCTCACAAACGGACCCTTGAGGAAAACAAATAAACGATGAAAAGGTAAATGTCGAGTAAAATGTCAATAGAACTCACTAAAACAGATGTTCCAACTTCTCATTAACAGCTCCTTGAATTCACATACACCACGACAAAATGGCGTTACCTGACTCGCAGCATCAAACCACTGTGTGGAAGGCGTGGTCAGGAGAAAAACTTCATAATTTGAGTCCATTTAACTTACATTTATTCACACATTCAAATTATGTCCACAAATTAGTAGAATCTACTTATATTTTGTTAGTAATGCAATCAAACTTAAATATTTTAATTAAATTGCAATAAAAATCTTTATTAGATATAAAATCCGGGCTAACAGTGAGGATTGGTGGTCCGTGGCCTCTAAAAGATGGAAATCCCCTGATTTAGGTTACCTAACAATTTTTTTTTACAGTGCCGTTTCAAAATCTTTTACACGACAGTAAAACTGTCTAATTATGTCCTAATTAGTTAATTCAAGGTGTCATATTTTTGCTTTTTTATCATTGACATACTTTATTTGATTACTCTGCTTGGCTTATACCTATGCTGTTCTGCAAATTGCCTTCTTGTAATGTTCATAGAATTGTGTTATATGGTACTCACTTGTAATAAATGTCCCGTTTACAAATTATTATGGAGAAGTTCCAGTTCAGACTGCTTGAAACCACTCAGAGCACTGCTCTAACGTCATGTCAGATATCAGATTCCCAGCAAATGTATACAAATGAGATCAGTTTCACTTCCTTTTGAAATAGCTGAGTTCTCAACATATGCAGATCTAAATAATCTTTTAGAACAGGTGCTGTGATTATAATATAACAAATTATAGACTGTGTCAGTTTTTAGACAAATGACATAAACCATCTTGAAAAGCAATGAGAAAAATAGACTTTTGAAAAACCTACTGTAAATCAAACTACGATACGATGTGAATATATTATCATATGTTTACAGGTTTAACCTATTGGATAAGGTAATAAAACTAACTAGCTTCGACAATTCTGCTTTGTGTTTACCATAAACTGAACACATGCTCCCACACATCGAACGCCCCTCCTACAACCAATGATCGCAGCAGGTTATTGTGACGTGGTGTGGACGTGGGCGTGCACAAACCCTTTAGTTCTTATAAAAGATTTAATTATTCATAAAGCTGACCAATTGAGCGGCGTATGTAAATATGGCAGGTTTAAATGTATTTGTAGGCTTATTCCAGCAGGCACAGTGAATGAACGGTAGACTGTGTGAGTAACTCTAGGCTACTGTGGGAAACAGACGCTTGAGTTCGTTTGTTCATCGGCAAATATTTGGATTCTGTTTCGTTGATAAAATAACTTTTCAAATCCACGCTTTGATCTTGAATTGACTCTTTACTCTAAACCGAACTCGTCGGACATCATCAGAAACAAGTAGGGGCGTCCAGCTGACATCCATAGAGCAGACTTGTGTTTTCATCGGACTGATTTCGCCATGTCCTCCGCAGATGTGTCGGAGCACAGCCGGCGCTGTTGTGTTTTGTCGTGGGAGCAGGTGCAGCGTCTGGACTCCATCCTGGGAGAGTGTGTCCCGATCCACGGGCGAGGAAACTTCCCTACACTCTCCATTCAGCCGCGACATATCGTACAGGTACAGGATCCAAACCTAGGCTTTACATAACAATATGAAACCTCAGCTGAACACAGTTTGCACCAAAAGGAATGCAATAATGTGGACAGAATTCCAATTCCATTTTTTAAAATATAGGATTTGGAGCATTCCTGAATCCTAATGGATCCTCTCTGACACAAAACAAAATAGATATAAAGCTAACACTATTACTAGTACCATCGCCAATGAAAATAAATGTTTATATACATTTTTTAAATAGATAAAAGTAAAAGAAAAAAAAAGAAATTTTTATTCTTCACAAAAACAACATTTTAGGTTTTATTGTTTTATACAAAATGTTATTTTATTATGCCACAGTAAAGGGGTGTTAGGCGCTACAGGTAGGCTCTCATTCGCGCATGTGTAGGCTACGTACAAATTTGTGCGTGAAATATGTGTACGAACGTTTTCTCGAACAAATCATGATTCACAAAAAAAATGTCATAGGCTAGGCTACTAAAATGCATTCTCAATGTGCGATTTTTTTAGGAACAACTGAAACCACTAGTAGCACACAAAAAGCATATACTCGTGTTAAGACGTTATATTTCTTATTAATTATATAATATAATATTATGCTATATTAATAAATAATAGGCCTGCAATTTAATTTCATCTTTATATTTCATCATAGGCTATAGCCAGTGAAAGAGTGAGAAAACCTCCATTAGCTTAAATAGTCTCAGCTGCGAGGTTTCTCTAAATAACGCAGATTTACGCTTGATTTACAGCTGGCTATTGAGAGTTTCGTAATCTGAAATGGTTTTGAGCATGGTACACTTGGATTTGCTCGGGGATCTGGCGAGTGCGCGTCTGCAGAGAGCGTCAAATGTTTGACGAGAGTGACGAAATGTTGTGCGGAAAGCCCTTATAAGAAGATGGTTTGGGCGTGTTTAATGCAAATGACTAACCTCGTGCACGCGGCCGCTCATAAATAGGTAGGCCTACTCCAAATGCATTACAAATTCAAACATTAGAACGAAATTAAGAACAAATGTATGTGCATACGCTCGTGTATTGACTAAATAATCCACGCAATTATTAGTGAAAGAGACCCATTGTATGTAGGGCTATTATTAATAGGGGATGTTACAGAAAATGTGTAACAGAAAAGTTAAAGTCTATTTCCTAAATGGAATTACCATGGCTACTTAACAGATAGAACTGGAAACACATAGGAAAGTTAGGTTGTTTCTGTATTGCAATCTTAATTCTTGACTCAATATGTAAAAAAAGGTTTATTTCCTATTTAAAAAAGGTTACTGAACAGAATATTAAACAGAAACCGATTTAGAATGTTTCTGTAATATAACCCCATACTGTAGGCTGTTTATGGTTGCCACACAGTGTATAAACTTAGAATGTGTGGTAATACAGATTTATTGGCTATTTTACAATTTACTTTTAATGAGCCTCATTCTTGATGACTAAATGCACTTTTTGTTTATTTGACAGGTTACTGTTAAAATAAAATGATATTGTTAAAAATGTTGAATATATTGGCATTCAAATTTCTGTGGTAGTTTATTTTCAAGTGTAAGTTTTTAAGCACCTCTACTCAAGCATTATTAAGCTTGAAAGCATATATCATATTCATCTAAAGGTTCAGTGTAATTTGCTAGTATCTCAATGAGGTGCCAAGATGATTTTTTTTTTCCTGATTATTCTACTGTAAAGGATACATTTTAGCTTTTGCAATCGGTCGTGACTTTAGCAGCCTTACTGGAAAAGGTTTATGGGTCAGCTTTTCTTCCACGCTGAATTCCAGTAGATATCAGCAGGTGTTTGTGCAATCAAATCAGGCAATTTAATCTATTTAACATCCGGAGAAACTCTCATACTGATCCTGCTGTCTGCTGACTGATGCCTGACACTCTCAAACGTCCCCTTCATGTTGAAAATGTCATTCATATGATTTATGATAGCTTGTCTTATTCCATACACACTTGCCTCTCAGTCCAATAACACAATCTTTTCAATTTGGAACAATAAACTAGAACTAGAATGAAGATAGATTTTAAGATACTTTTTACTAACAGAGGTAACAACCAACATTCAAAATGTTAAATATTTTAAGGGTGACTAATGAACTTCTTAGTTTTAATGCAGTATTTCCCTTAATTTAGCTTGTTTTATTTACAACCTCATGGTTGCAAGGAAGCCAGTTCACACAATTAACTGTGAAACAAGATATATAGGCTAGTATTTTTACCCAGCCGTATCAAATGGCTTATTCAAAATTAGGCCTCTCTCTGATGACATCACTGGCCTCCAAATGAAAGTGCTTATTACTCTACCATCTGGTTGTGGGGCTCTGTATCTAATGTGGGAGACATCAGACAAGTCCATAAGCTTTTAGGTTTTGCAGTATCTCTTCTTTAATTAGATTCTTTGATTGTCTTTATGAAAACTATTCACTTTTGTTCTCAATAAAACCCTCTCAATAAGGCCAGTAGTTCATTTTTTTTTGCCTTGCCAAACATTGTCATCACCAACATTTTATCTATTTTCAGCATCATATTTTTATATTCTTGACACTTGGTAGATTCATTTAAAATCAATGCACTAATGTAATGTGTACACATAGAACAGGCATTACAGTTATTGTACAGGTCATGGTGGCAACCTACCAAGCAGCTAGTCTTTCATTGCCTGAATTTTGACTTAGCATAAATTCTGGTGCAGTTTAGGCTGGTTAGAACTGCCCACTTAGACAGGAAGAGACCTGAGTCTGACTGACATGTGAAGCAACCATCACAGTTGTTCTTGTTTAGTGGTAGGTTTATCTCAAAATATTTCTACACAATAATAGACATTTTGGAAAAAAGTCTCTGAGATTTTTCTGTACTGAAACGCCTTCATTACTGGCCATCCAATTACGTCCACTGAATTACTGTCCATCCAAACGTAATAAGCACAGATTATTTCCCAGACAGAAAACAAACAATATACAGTTCTGCTCATAAATATGCAATATGGTTGCTAGTAAGTGCCTCAAAAAAACCTCTATATATTTGAAAGATTTGAAGCAAGCCCAATGATTAGTTCATTCTTGCAAGTGCTCATAGTACCAACACAGATTAATTTAAACATGATTTTGTTTCCTGAAAGACTGATAAAAACCTGTTCATTTCGAATCCTGGATGTTAGTAGCATTCTGACAATCTGATTGGAATTTGCCGTATTCACAAGTGTTTTGTCTACAATATAACAGTGGAAACGTCTTCAACTACCAGGAAGCAAACTCTTAGATTTGTTGGTCATCAGCCCTCCAGAAGATTGTTACATGGCATCAGTATTTGGTGTTGTTGTAAAGCATGCATCGTTCTTATTACCAAATGTAGAAAGAACACTCAGACACAAATCACCACTATTTCATTTTTTCTCAGTGGTATAATTTTTGCATTGTTCCTTGGCTTACACTGCCCTGTTTAGCAGACAAAGTTGGCTTGTTTGTGGCACATAAGGTTAAAAGTGGATTAATCCTGTTGGAAACAGTAGACTTGTGAGCCAGAGCTGACATGGCATCCGTGTGGTAAAGAGGAGCCTGGTAAATCTTTCAATTCGGCCAGAGTGTAAACTAACTCCTCAGGATTATTTTTTTTTTCAATCTGCAAGGATACATAGACTACATCTAAGCCATTCCCATTGTTCCTGTCTTAGAACAGGTGCTTTTATGAGTGTGTGAATGGATGTCTTAAAGGAATTCATCCCTCAAGCATGTAACATAAACCTGGTAAAACCAGCGGCTTTGAGGTATACATTACACCATACACCCATACCTGCAGGGGGAGCTAATCAACAGAGCCTTTTTAACATTCTTTCACTGTAAAATGTATCTTTAAAAAAAAAAAAAGGTAGTAATACTGACCCCCTGAAAACTTGTTTTGGGATAGTTCAAGAAATTATGGGATAGTTCAAGTTCTGTCATCATTTATTCACCTTCATGTTGTTCAAAACCTGTAAGACTCTAACGTATTCAGCAAAACAAACAAACAAAACTTCATTTTCACTCTGTTTCTCACACAAAGCTATAATTTGCCTTTAGAAGACTAAAGTACATGTGTCATATGGATAACTTTTATGGTCCTTATTTGGAGCTCAACATTCCTAGTCTCAACATTCCTAGTCTCCAAAAAAAGAAGAAAAAATGCATGGTTTGGAACAAAATTAGGGTGAGTAAATGATGACATACTTATTTAGTTTTTTTGTTTGGAAAATAAGATGAATGATTTTTTTGGACAAGGCCTTTACTGATGGGGCGTATAACTGGTGTAATGGAAGTTATGTATGAGTAACTGCTTAAAGTTTTATCTGAGCTTCATATAACACCTAGGGTTATCCACATGGCCATCCAATAGCTAGAATTTCAAAGATTCCATTGTGAATTTTTGGAAACAATTTAAGATCAGGAAAAAACTCTTAATAGTCTAGTCCAGTATACAGGGGATTCACTGACTCATTTCCTGAGCCCGGGCCAGTGTCAGAGACTCGTAAGTGGTTCATTCATCCCTTTGCATTTGGCAGTTCACAGTGTGACTGGCTGCCCAGAGTGGCTGTCGGTATCCAGGGGGCAATGATGCTGTGTTCTGTTGGCCTGTTCCCCAGCCTAAATCTGAAAAATGCTGTGTGGAAATGTGCCTTACGATCATCCTACAAATAAAACACGAAACCTATTTTGGCCAGGTTAGAAAACAAAACAAGGCGAGCCAAGGCGTTGTCAGCACCGGTCAGACCAGTGTGTTTGCGGCTTTTTTACAAGCCTTCAACACAGGGTCAAAGGAAATAGGCTTGTAGATTTCAAGATATCTCAATGTATGCGTCTTCTTTAGAGTTTCAGAGGAGATTTCAACTGTTAAACTGTGCATCAGTCCCTCTAGGCTTTTTCCTTTTTTGAGGGAATGCTCCTTGTATCTTGTGTGTGACTTTGTGCATTGCTGCTATGCGTGATCACGTCCCGAGTCGTTTTTGTAGTTATTTTTTTTTTAATTCAGCAAAAAGTCATGTCATACATATGCTTTGACTTAAAGCTTTGTCTTTAGAACAATCGGCCACAGTTCAGATTAGGGTCCAATTCTCAGTATTAACTATTAACTACATCTTTTCCCTCAATAAACACCTAATTACTGCTTAAGTTGTTAAGTTTAGGTAATGGGTAGGAATTGGGTAGGATTAAGGGATGTAGAGTATGGTCATGCAGAATAAGGCATTAATATGTACTTTATAGGTACTAATAAACAGCCAATATCCAAGTAATATGCATGCTAATAAGCCTAACATGTTTAGTTTTATTGACAAAATAGTGAAGTTATTATCTTTAAGAAACATTTTATTAGGTACAAACTGTTGTCAATATGGCCTACCAACTGTCTGAAAGTATTTGGTTACCAGTGTAACTAACTGGTTCTCCTTGTGAAAAAAAATGTCTGCCAAGATATTTTCAAGAACATTGAAATGTATAATTCCATTGTGGAAACTGGATCTGAAAGTTTCATTTTATGTCCTGACCTTTGCTGTATCCCAGAAAACCAACATTTGTTCTGGAGCATTGTGTTGTTTTTCATTTTTTTATTTTTGTTGTTTGTTTTTTCCCCCTGGTAATTTTTAGACAAGTTGTCAGAAGTGTGCAGACAGATATCTGGTGATGAAATAAAATATTTCCATTTAGATCCTAAGAGGTACAGACACTGTAACTGTGCAGAGAAATAGGTCAACCAAATCATGTGTTGTGATGGATAGAAAACATTCATAAATCAGACAGAGACAAAGAGAAAGAAAAAGATGTTGAACAAACAGTACACAGCTATGCACCTTAACACTTTAGTAACCACATAGCAATATTCTAGTAACCACCCAGTTCACCTTAGCAGATCTGGGTCTGTTTGCAGCGGATCCTCCTGATACTTACACAGTGACATCTCTTCTGGTCTGGCTGGGCACTGAGGAAATCCAGAACCTCCACAGAACTAGACTTTCACAAAAAATCAATGTGCTAAGTCTTTGACTCCGACTAAGTCTTTGACTTCCCAAATGTCAAGTTAATAGGAGATTCTCAATTTCCTCGTTGCTCTATGATGTACTACATACTTAAATATGTGGTTTACTAATATAATGGTCCATTTATTTGTGGCCAAGCCCCTATTGTATCCATTAGTTTTCTTATTATTTTCCCCCAATGCTAGTCTAAGGTGGCCCTATGAATCGTAAGTAGGAAAATGATGAAAATTGGCACACTTATAGTGATGGTAATGAATAGCAATCTGACCAAATTTGGAGTCTCTAGGACGAACTCTATAGCGCCACCACCAGTTCAAAATTCACTTTTGAACCCTTTGATCTAGAAAAATTGAACTTGGTACACCTGATTCCCCTCATCATGCTGATCAATCCAACATCTTACATTAAGAGTCCACCCATTACAGTAGTGGCCATTTTGAAAAGTACAGTATTCTGTTTTTTCGCTACTCCTCCTTCAAATTTTGCCCAATTCTTATGAAAATTGGCTCGCATGATCTTTGGACTGAGAATGGTTTTATTAATCTTTGTTCAAAAGTCACAAACTTAACGAGGTTGACCCTAAATTGGTTCAGAGGCTGTATCTTGAGCAATTGAGACAGAAATTGGTACGCTTCATCGGAACCATGATCTGAGGGTCCATGCCAAATCTGGGAACAGTGCCACCTACAGATCATGATGTGGCAAAAAATGGCAGAAAACAGTTTGTCAGAAAATCATGATCTTAGTGTCTATGGATTCCTTGTGTTATGAATCTGTGGATACCGATTTTGCCAGGATCAGATGAACCATCAGGCTGCCATTTTGAATTTTGACACAAATCGCAATATCTTTTAAATTATTTGACATATCGACACAAAATTCGGTAGGTATCATCATCGGCATGTCCAGAAGGTACTTGAAAAGTTTGAACAGCGCCACCTAGTGTTCCAGAGATATGTTTTTTGCAAAAACGCTAATGACTTATGAAAACATTGTTCAAAATTTAAATTCTGATTGACTTCCAACAATATGACTGTCCGCCATATTGAAGCAAATGAAAAACAGTTCTGTATGAAATTTGTAAAAATTTCAATCTGTATGAAATTTGTAAAAAAAAGTTTGCTATGTCTCTTTCTTTCCTTTATGTGTAGGTGGTGCGGGCTCGTCTAGAAGAGCGAGGTGTAGTGGTGCGTGATGTGAAGCTGAATGGCTCTGCTGCCAGTTATGTGCTCCATCAGGACACTGGCCTGGGCTACAAAGACCTGGACCTGATCTTTGGTCTGAGTCTGACCGATGACAAGACCTTCCGTCTGGTAAAGGATGTGGTACTGGACAGCCTCCTGGAGTTCCTGCCCCCCGGCGTGAGCCGGGACCGCATCACTGCCCTGACCTTAAAGGAAGTGTACGTGCAGAAGCTGGTGAAGGTTTGCAATGACACAGACCGCTGGAGCCTCATCTCACTTTCCAACAACACTGGCAAAAATGTGGAGCTGAAGTTTGTGGACTCCCTGCGACGGCAGTTTGAGTTCAGCGTGGATTCTTTTCAGATCGGCTTGGACTCGCTGCTGCTATTCGACCGCTGCTCCGAGACGCCCATGTCCGAGAGTTTCCATCCCACTGTGCTCGGAGAGAGCATGTACGGAAACTTTGAAGAAGCGCTAGGACACCTACATGCCAAAATCATCGCTACGCACAGCCCGGAAGAAATCCGTGGAGGTGGGCTCTTGAAGTACTGCCACTTGCTGGTAAGAGGCTTCCGTCCAGCCTCCGAGGCACAGATGAAGACGCTACAGCGCTACATGTGCTCACGCTTTTTCATCGACTTCTCTGACATCAATGAGCAGCAGAGGAAGCTGGAGGCGTACCTGCAGAACCACTTTAACGGCATGGAGCACAAGCGTTACGATTGCCTCGTGACTCTCCATCACGTGGTAGATGAAAGCACCGTATGTCTCATGGGCCATGAGCGGAGACAGACACTCGCGCTCATCTCCTCTTTGGCACTACGCGTGCTGGCTGAACAGAACGCAATCCCTGCACTGTCTAATGTAACATGTTACTACCAACCAGCTCCCTATGTCAGAGACGTCAACTTCAGCAACTACTATATAGCACATGTGCATTCACCCATTTCCACCTGTAACAGCTCCTATCAAACATGGCTGCCTTGTAGCTGAGCCAGGAAGGGACAAAAACACTTCTGGGGCATATTTGCAGTCTTCAGATTGTTGTTAGATTTCACCTCAATATCAAGAGAAAAAAAGAGTATATTTTGCATAAAGAAATTCTAATTTCTCAGTTGTAATTTTCATTATATTCTCATAAGAGTTATAATAATAATACTAGCCTACTAATAATGATTTAGTACAGTATTTTTACTGTATTACTGTGAAAATTAAGGTATTTGTTTATTTAAATCAACAAACAGTCAAGTACAACTAATCAGTTCCACCAGGATTTAGTTTTTTTTGTGACAAAATGGCATTTTCCAGAAATCTTTGATATATAAATTAATAAATATACACACACACACACACACCTATATATTTATATATATATATATATATATATATATATATATATATATATATATATATATATATATATATATATATATATATATATATATATATTATTATAGCTAGCTAGGCTACTCTAACTGTGTACTATCTAGATTTATTAACCTGATCACTTAGGATAGGCAATATGACCAAATTTTACAGGCTAAGCAAACCACAGCAAAACTTAAAGTAAAATGTTCTAATTTTCTAAATTCTCTGTTAATAAATAATCAAGTAAACAGTTATATAACTAGAACAAAGAAAATGACAATATGATGAATAAATTGCTCCACAATTTAAATTATAGACCTATATAGACTTTAGAAAATATACTTTATTGTCATAAAACTATTACATCTTAATGGTCCTACAATTTAATAGGAAATGTTCTTTATGTACAATATAATTTCCTATATTTGTCTTGTGATTTTGGGGTGAAATATGACCCAGTCATGTTTTTAAGTGTCATGAGACTCACCATTCTACTATAGCAGGTTGTTTTGTGCAAAACTCAATGGAGACCAGAAGTGAGATATTTTGTCTTTATATGGATGCTACCAATCCAGTCTATTATAATGAACTCTGCTGTACTGGAAGACTCAAAATGATTTAATTTGCTCCAAATCCACTCAAAACCGTTTTGTGAGGATTTTGTCCAGTGCAGATGAAACAATAACATTGGGGGAGAAATGTCTAAAGCACTTCTCCACTCCACATTCATGTGTAACCCATTCATATTTTATAAATGAAATGTTTTTAAGTTATGAAACACAGCTTTTGTTGAAGTTAGGAAAAAATAAAATCAAGAAAAGCCGTAAAACTGGGAGGATGTGTTCAGTTCTGATCATGGTTTCCTACTTTCCTTATTTGAAAAACTGAGGACCAAAGACTTTAGATGTAGCAGCTTGTGGAATGTTACTTCTGTGACTGTAAGTGCCTGAACCAACTACAAACTGAAATGTATGTAAATTAAAAATGTTCATTGTTTTGTTCTCTGGGCTATTGTATAGTACAGTATTTTTACTTTCAGGGGCAGGGCATTTCCTTTACAAATCAATAAAAACAAAGAAAGAAAAATAGCCGAATTTGCTCTAGTCTTCCCCCCCGTATCTGTAGAAATGCATGTGCACACTGAAGTGTAATGTGTTTAATAGATGAGTTTAATAAGTCAAAGCTAATGAGTGGTTTGATCTATATAAACCTTAATGTCACAGGGAAAGAAACAAATAATGCATGCTCTGTATTTTTTATTTTTTTGTCCACAAGAGTAATCGAGTAAATCTCATCAAGAATGAGTAATGTTTAACAGCATTTTACATTAAAGGGATAGTTCACCCAAAAATGAAAATACTGTCATCATTTACTCACCCTCAAGTTGTTCCAAACCTATATGAATTTCTTTCTTCTGCTGAACCCAAAAGAAGATATTTTGAAGAAGATTTGAAGGAGATTATTTTGTGTACAGCAGAAGAAAGAAGTTCATATAGGTTTGGAACAACTTGATGCTGAGTAAATGATGACAAAATGTTCATTTCTGGGTGAACTAGATTATTTTGCATAAGATAAAGGGATAAAGTAATCATAAACATGAATAGTCCTAAAATAGAGTAACATAAACTACTTTTGTTCTTTTATTAACAAATACAACAACATTCAGATGTTTTAAGCGCTTAGGAATGTCTAAGTACTTTTTGGGGCCACTGTACTGTAGGTCTATGGGATATGGATGGTTTATACTGTATCTCTCATTGACTCTCATAGGGCAGGCTGTGCTTGTGTTGGATGTGTCGCACTCATTGTTGCTGAGGACACAGCTGATGAACAGCTGTTAGGAGAGCAGGGAATGTACTTGCTGAATATGCAATTTAGAAGCACCCGCACCACATGTTGTATTGTATAGGCTACAGTCTATTATTCAAGCACTTGCGTCATGGTACGTAATGTACTTGTGGTTAATAATATCATTCAGTGTGACAAACAGGAAGCGGTGCCATGGGCTGTTCTTAAATTGAGATTTCAGGTGTGTACAACATGTTTTCATCTCAAAATGGATATTTATGACTCTTAACCCTTGTGAAAAAGAAGTGCACTTAATTGTATTGAGTGTGCAGTTGTAGTGCACTTCAAATCTTAAAAATATATATTAATAAAATTCTACTTTCAGATAATTAATGAAATAAAAGGTTGCTTAAAGAGAGTACACTTTCATGACTATGTTTCTTAACCCACTTAAGTACTCTAATAATGTCAAATTAAAAGTTTCACTTTAAAGTACATTTCTAAATAATAAATAATTGTTTTAATAATCTTTTGTTGTGATGACTAACACACTAAAGCACACATAAAGTGCTTGATTATAATTTAACTGTAGTCTGTTATTCGATATTATTATAATATTAGTAATGCACTCTGTAAGGACAGACTCCACTGCGCTCCTGTAAAAAGTAGTGAGGACTGTAGTGGACATAGATGCACTTAAGTGAAAACATTACATTCAGTTTGTACTTATTAATTTAGAGTATTCTTTTTAAAAGTATGCTAAAATATACTTTTTCACTAGGGAAGGTACTGCATTCTTCTTTTTGACGATTTTATTCAGTTCAAACCAACGCACATACTAATTACATTAACCAGGAAATACTGTATTTAAGAAGAAAGAAAGTGTACCTGGTAACACACATCAAACTAAATTATGTGCAGAGGTTTCTACCCGACAAGGTTTAACTGTTAAATCCACTGTCATTTTGGCTGTTTTTACACAACATCAAATGTGAGAAAAGTCAGAGCTTTCATAAAATTCTAAATGTCCAGCTTAATTACAAAGTTTAAAGATGTGATAGCCTTTTTTCTACTCGGAAACTCTTAATTACGGTAATTCTGAAATGACGCACACTGGGCACAAAAAACAGCTTTTCAAACTATAATTTTATTTAAAACTCCTGTTTTTCTGCCTTGCTGACTGGTGTTTACTTCAGTAAATCCAGTCTAATTGGTTGTGTGTAAGGGTCTCGCATCATTTTATTTCAGTACAGACAAAAAAACAAAACAAAAAGAAAGTCGAAAACTTTGTCATATAGTTTCATCCATAACAGAGGTTGTGAATGTCAAAAACAAATGAGGGCAAAGGCAGACTGGTGTAAGACAGAACATTTCTTAAACAAGTTAATGATTTCTGGCGAGCAAAGGCCATGTCCTCTTGACTCACTGTAATTGCACAGTGTGAGTTATAGAATATGGAATTGCAATTAATAGAGGAACAGTAAAAGCTGTTTGGAGGAAAAAAAGTATGGCTAGTGGGGCGCCTTGACCATTCGAGTGTGACAGATTGTTCCCTGTGATATTAATTTAAGACTCTTATGGGAAGCATGAATAAAGCTTGCTGTCAGATTGATGTCAGATACAGACAGCCGTGCATGTGTACCGTGAAGCATGGCCGGCTGTGACAAACGTTTGATAACAGATTCTAAAATGATAGGATTGAAGCTTATTTTGATTACTCAGTCCAAATATGTTCAGAAATGTTCATAAGCAATGGAATCATGATGTAAATCATGAAACTGACTGTTTGTGGAAACAAAAAGGGCCCTCAATGGAGCCATGCTGAGACAGAGGGCCATATGCTTTACAATTCAGGATATTGTTTACTTGCTCACTGCTTTTTCTACAAGCAGTGTAAATGAGAGTTGACAAAGAAAGAGTTGCACAGAGGCATCTGGTTAATATCTGTCTGAGGTAAAAACAAAACAAAAAAAACACAACATTTGCCATCAGCATAGGGTGGTGCCCATCGTAACTGTGTGTTTCTCTTTCCATCTTCCTCTTTCTCTGTCTGGTGCTGGAGACGAATTGGGTCAGAGCATGATTCACAGTTTCAGATTTGACAGGGAAACACGCAAAAGACTCTCAGAGTGACAGATATGCTGAAAAGACCAGCATATTGAATGCAAAGCTTTATTGGTATACTGTTCCATCAATTAGATCATCATAAACCAGAACTAGTCAAAGTTGGTCTCCAGCAAAGAAATCCATGTTCTTTCTTAGCAAGAGAATCATTAGCTCCATTTTTCATTTCTCTGTTGCTCCTCTGTTTTTCTTCTTTATATTACTTTTTTGGATTTCTAAAGATCACACACATAACATTGAATGACAGAAGAGGGCTTGTCTGATCTACTGTTTGTAGAAATCTCTCCTGGCTGTCACATTGTTTAAAGTTAAAATTAAAGATTGTCTGATCTATTGTTTGTAGAAATCCCTCCTGACTCTCACATTGTTTAAAGTTTCAATTAAAGATGTCATGAAAAAAATGAGATGTTAGGCAACATGTGCCAGATGCGCCTTAGTTTCATCCAATTATATTGACTTTATGACCACTTTGTGACCGTCTAATTGATTATAATGAGAGTATGAATAGTCTAATTGGTGTAGTTTGGCTCTGGCAAAGAAAAGCGCAGGTGTACAGGTACAGTATACTCCCTTTTTCATGTTAATGCTGCTGGTCCAACACACAACCACAGAATATCATCTTCCTGGTTCATGTAATCCAAGTAGGGGAGAGTGGGGTAAGATGTGTCTATATATATATATATATATATATATATATATATATATTTTTTTTTTTTTTTGCTTATGTCATGTGGTCCTCAGGATAAGAGAAAATTAGGCAGAAGTAAAATGAAAGTATATTTTAAATGATGAGAATACATCTATGACAAAGGGCCCTTCTTATTAAAAAGTTTCCCTGTGGCTCAATTTAC